TTCTTTAAGTTACTTGAAGACGTTTCACCTCTCATCCGAGAAGCTTCTTCAGTTCTAAGGTCAAATGGTGGAGAGTCCCAGATATAAACCTAGTGCGAGTATCCCCCCACAGAGGGACAAAAGGACCCCCTGATGATCCTCTAATCGCCTGAGCCAAGGTGTGAAACTGGGTGTGGGTCCCAATCAGCCGGAGTTTGAGCTCACCCGAAACTCCATATTTCAGGACAAATATGCAAAAAACTAAGAAATCAGAAAAGGGCAAATACTTCTTCACCACATTGTATCTATTCTTTGAGTTTCCACCACCAAGTGCTAGGACTCTGGCCATAAAACTCAAAAACCATACTTGACCTAAATTAGGCAAAGCTGCATCCTTGGATCACTTCCAAGAACATGACTTTAAGGAAAGTAGCTCCTACTTTCCTTAAAGTCGTGTTTTGACAGTTACTACATTTGAAATGCAAATAAATTGCATTTCAAACTGAGATGATGCAAACAGAAAACTCAATTTTCAACCTATTATGTGCAGACATGAGATGAAAAAAAACTGTTAATTTTTATAAAAGCAATCACAACCTCTTTTTTTATATATTTTTTTGCAATTCTGACCTGACGCAAGCCCTCTTCTGGTTTGTTTGTTAATCAGAGCTAAATCTCTGGCTCTCAATACCAGTGATGATCTTTAAAAGCTGTACCCATCTGGCACTTAAGTTGATATCCACCTTCTGCATACATGTCATTCATGCATGATGTATTTAGCAGTAAGACAAGGCAAGTAGCATTTCCTATAGGACTTAGGCTCATTTTTAATTACTTCATCTAAGTATTAAAAGCAGTCTTACAAACTTGATGACTAATGTTTGTAAATATCTAAGTACGGGTCACAACAATGAACAAAACGTTGCACTACCAAGAGACAATACGTCTGACGTTTCCTACCTGTTTTTTATGTGGTAGTATATGGCCAGTGCAACACTGCAAGAGACAGAAATCAACAAAGAATAAAACACTAGAGCTGGATTTTCCCTTTTACAGCTTTTTATTTTTACTTCTACTTTACAAATAGATATTTAGATCTTTACAACTGCAGCTATTTGGTGACTTTAAATGTTACCTGCAGTTCAGGACAAACAAACAGAAACATTTTGCAAATAATTAAACAGTAGACTGACAACATGTCAGTAACATAATTGTGTATTAGAAGAGGATCTTAAAGGGGGCGGAGTTTCTCAGACGTAAAGATGGGCCAAGGTTTAGTAATCTCCAAAAAAACCTATGTACAAATTGGGGAACAAATTCATGTACAGATGAGGAGACTTTGAATATCTAATAATATTCATTACATAGTGATATTAAACAATTCACAGAACCGGTAGAAATATCTGTGCACAAAGGACAAGGCTAAAAATCAGTGCCCGTGATCTTCAGGTGGCACTGCATTAAAAACAGGAATATCTCTGTCATGGAAATTACTGTATGAGCTCAGGAACACAAATCACTGTTAAAGGTTACCATGCCATCCACAAATGGGGGTTAAGCTCTATCATCCAAAGAAGAAGCCATATGTGAACATGATCCAGAAACACTGCTGGGGTCAAATCTCACTAAAGAGGAGCAGAACCATCCAGCTTGCCTCTTAGATGGTACGAGGGGTACATCAGTGCCTATTGAATTGGTAGCTTGGACATCTGGAAAAGCACCATCAATGCTGAAATGCATATGAAGGCTTTAGAGCAAGATATGCTGCCGTCCAGAGAGCTTCTTCAAGGAAGTTTTTGCATATTTCAGTAAAACAGTGCTAAACCACATACTGCATGTATTACAAGAGCATGACTTCCTGGTAAAGAAGTCCAGATGCTGAACTTTTCACCAGCTGAAAGCAGCAGCTAGAATCTTATATCAGAACATCATTCCTCTCCCAAATGTCCAGCAAAGCTCTCTTTTTAGTTTCCACACTTTTATTAAAAGAAGAGGGGATGCTACACAGCGTTAAACGTGGCCATGATGCTGCCACCACATTCAAAATAAACATCTGATAAGTTTAAAATGTTTTAAAGTGAGTCAAAACTGTGTTTGTGGAATTTGCAAACCACTGAACTGTTTTTTATTCACATTTTACACAGCGTCCCAACTTTTTTTGTACTTGCGCTTGCAGCAGTACTGAGGTGAGGGCGGTCACTTACCATTTAATAGTGCTCTTGAGATTGGGCTGGCTGACTGTGCTGTCATCGAGGAATATGGTTGAACACGAGCTGTACTTTTTAGAAAGGAGTCCCGGGGACATCTGGCATCAAAAGCGTGACAATGTTTAGAGACAGAATGGAGGGGAAAACGGGTTATAGAAACACATTCAACCCCAGAGAAATGAGATGTATGACTGTGAATCATTTCAGCAACAAACAGACCCACGAAGAACACGCAGAGCCGTAACTTACGTGATTCATGTAGTTGCTTTTCCTTTTCTCGCGGACTGAAATTGGATAAAAAACACAATCAACGAGATGTAGGAGTTTCAGAAGAGAATGGGGTAAAATATTAAAGCACAAGAGAAATACTGACCATCTGTCTGAGACTTGTTGAGGAATAGAGTGCTTGCTCTGGGGTGGTCAGATGGGTTGGCCTCTTGGGCCAGCTCTGTAGAGGGAAAATGTTAAAAGTCTTCATATAATACTACAGTGTTTGTCTAGGAGCTGCCACGCTGCTGCTGATTTAATGCTAAACAGCTCTTAAAGCATGTAAAACATTTAAACTGAATCACTTGCAGTAAACCGGCACCATGACAGGGCAACATCACTGCATGCAATCACATCTCCAAAAATAGCAAACTAATCTTCACACACCATCTGGAAGCTCCCTGTCGCTGATGTGCTGCAGGTATGTCCCAGTGTCCTCGCTCACATCTTCAGTAGTGGTGATGGGACACTCCTCCAGCTCCACCTCTCTCCTGTGGATCTTGGGGCTCTCTCCAGGAGAGATGCAGCAGGACACCGAACCTCCCATCGCTGACCTGCAAAAGTCCTGCAACAGCCAGCACCGCTTTCCATACAATTGAGGAGGGACCACCTGCTAGTCTGGCAATTCTGAAGCTGCAGGAAGGTCTGCAAGATCTTTATGCCAAACCTTACAAGGGGTTGTTAGGAAAAAATACATAAAACACTAGTTTTGCTCTGCCTTGGCGAGATCGGGTTCAATCACAACCTGGAAGTGTTCGGGTTATTTGAAAATGTGCGTGTTGTGGACCAGCACAGCCCTTGTGTTTCTGCTGCAAAGTGAACGATCTCGCTTCAGAGCAGAACGGGATCTATGCAAGGACAGCCAAGTAAGTATCTGCGGTATGTGCAGGACGGCTGACATATTCAGGGTGTGTGCGCAACCCACGGATGGCGCACTTTAATATGAACTGCGTGCGTGGGCTGCATGGTTTTGGGCTGAGAATAACCGCTACCAAGTCATTTTACGGAAAACAGTCTAATGAGACGAAGTCAGGCGTTCCTCTGCCTCCCTCCATGGCTAGCCGGCTAACGCTAGCTTCCGCACCTCAATCCACTGCTGGCTCCTCCAGCAGCGTGACTCAATCCATTTTCACTGCGGCTCAAGTCTGTGTAACCGCTGCGGCCCTTTCAGCGACAGCACCGGGCGAATTCACCAGCCGGAAGGGTTTTTAGAGGAAACGGGGAAAGTGAGCGGCCAGCGGGTGTCAAAGCGGTGGCCGGAGGTGGCGTTCATCTCGTCGCACTAGCGGGACACAAGCTTTAGATGTCAAAGCGACCGTAGCAGGTAAGTTCAGAGGTAATTTCCTGCTTAAGGTTTTCAAAGTAAAAGTCCGCTGGTGGAAACGCCAAGACAGTGTGAGACTAAAAAAAAAAAAAAAAAGATAAAAAAATAACTAATACAATATTTATTAAAACTATTTAAGCTATCTTCTTAACATAAAATAAAATAAAAGTGTAAGCTGTTGAATTAAAAATAAAATAAAAAAACTTAGTGAAAAGAAAACTGATTTGTTGTTCATATAAATAAAAACGTTTATGCTGAACACTCTTTCTTAACAGACACCTATAAAAGATAATAAGTCTTAAAATAATTTAAGCAACATTTCAATACAGTTTTCATACGTTTCTCTTGGTTTATCTATTTATTTGTATTTCAGATTTATTTCCAAATCTTTGCTCAAAAACACCATGCATGTAATAATTCAACAACCTTTTCAACAACTAGGTTTCCATTTTTGTCTAATTTACTTAGCCAAGGGATGTTTTAGTATTTTTTGTGCATCAGTTATTTTCAGTATTATCAATAGATAGCTGCCATGGACCCGTAGCTGCAATAGATGCCATTGGTGGCAGGTTCTTACTAAGAAAATATCCACCACTGTGCAGCTTTTTCATATTCGATGAAAATGTTTTTTTTTTTCTTTTTTATTTCTTATGTCTATACTCTCAGCACAGAGCGAGTCTCTTCACGCAGCTCAAAAACCCTTTATTTGCAGTACACCGGAAGCTACATCGCTGCTATGTGTTGCTACCTTTACGGACCTGCGTTTTTTTTTCAGACCACGCCTCCTCGATTCTAGCTAAAACACAACCCCGTTAAGAAAATCTTGCAGACACGCCCATCGCAAAGACTTACTCTTTTCCCATTGGTCACTTTTAGCTGGGCTGTTACGTGATTGGCTAGATTTTTTCGTTGACGTCAACACGGGTTGCCGTCTTCAGTTGCCGAAAGCGAATCGGTCTCTCGCGTTTCAGTATTTATTAAAGAAAACAAGCCAACTATCAACGCTAAAAGTTGGTTCATATACCATAAGAACATTCTTTAACAAACGAATTAAATAGTAGCTATATAATAACTCCAGAAGATGGCGGAAACGAATCAATGAGCCAGCCAGGTACGAGGAAAAGCGTCGAAGAAGAAGGAGGAGCGCACTGCGCATGTGTAAACGAGTGTGGTTTTATTTATTTCAAGCATGGCTCTCGTTCCCTATGTAGAAAACCCATTGCCCGTGCTTTCCAAACTCCACAATTCATCAGCACAGTTTAGGTTTGCCAACCGCGACCTCCGACTCGCTCAGGACTGGAAAAAGCTCGGTGTGGCGGCGGTTGTGTGGGATGCGGTACGTTACAACAGTGGCAGCAGTGCTTAGCTTCAATAATTCTTCCATGTTTCATTAGATTTATACATTACTATTGCATTTGTGTTATTGCCCAGGCGGTGGTCATGTGTATGTACTTGGAGCTGGGAAGAGTGGAGCTAAAGGGGAAGAAAGCAATTGAATTGGGAGCTGGCACTGGTCTAGTGGGCATTGTAGCAGCTCTGCTGGGTGAGTGTATAATTACTAATCACCAAAAACTGGAGGTGGTCGGATCACTCCAAACATCAGTAGTATCAGTACCAATGCTGCTATTGGTATCAGATCGATACTAGCCCAAAATGATCAGCACTTTGTTTCAAACCTTTAAGTGTAGTATGTACACAAAATAATTATAAAATAATGAAAAATATACACACATATATAACACATTAAAACAACAGAAGTTGACCCAAGGTGCTTTAGAGACAGGCTCATTTGGATTCCTTGTCTCCAAAACTAGTTGTGTGTGATATCAAATAAATACAGGGCCAATGCTGAAGACACCAGTGCTGATACTTTTAACCTGTGGAGGCAGCATATAAAGGTCAGAGCAGTGTTATTATTTATGATAAATTGTCATCACATTCTGATCACATTTTAATGATTGCTAAATCACTGCAATTTTTACTTTCCACAATAATGAGTTAACACAAAAAAACACACCTTTCAGCAGTTCGTGTATTTTGAAACTGTGTTTTTTTTGGAGACCTTGAGTTTAAATATGCATGTGTTAAAACACTGTAGGTCAGCTTCAGTTGTTTAAATGTGCTGCAACAGGCTATAAATCACAGAGACGTCACAGTATGTATCGATCCTGTTGTGCTAGTATCTAAGGATATTAATACTATCGATATTTGGATTAATCTGCCCACCTTTATCCAAAAACAGAAGGTGTTTTTTGTTGTATTAACTCATTATCGTGGAATTTTAAAATCAAATTGATTTAGTGGTCATTAAAATTTGTTCAGGATTCATGTCATAAATCATGACACACTACTCTCTGCTACATAATCTCCCTTCATAGGTTTAAAGTATCCATATTGATATCAGCAATACTGGCCCTGTATTTACTGTGTATCAGACCAATACCAAAATTTGCAGTATCTCATAGCACTATCAAAAAGCCTTGAGAGTGCGGCGGGTGAACAAGGAAAGCTGTGATAGTCCAACTCTAACCCTTCCCTAGGTGCCAGAGTGACCATCACTGACAGAGAGCCTGCGCTGGACTTCCTCTCCGCCAACGTGAAAGCAAACCTGCCCCCAGATTCCCAACAATCAGTGGTGGTCTCCGAGTTGACCTGGGGCGAGGGCCTCGAGCGATACCCAGCCGGAGGGTTTGATGTGGTTCTGGGTGCAGATATCATTTACCTGGAGGACACGTTTTTGCCTCTGCTGGAAACGCTGGAGCACCTGAGCTCAGACGCCACTGTGGTGTTACTGGCCTGCAAGCTCCGCTATGAGCGAGACACAAACTTCCTAGGCATGCTTAAGCAGCGCTTCACCGTCGAAGAAGTCCACTACGACAAACAAAGAGACATACACCTATACAAAGCTTGCAAACTGACACGGAGGAGAGACTTGTGACCATTTGTTTGTTTTAATATATGAAATAAAATGTTTTAAAATCAGATTACCAGAAACACATTTATTAACAGCTGCCAAAAGTGTCATATCTGAATAGCTCTAACGTAATGCACTGTATTATTATACAAGTTGTTGCTGACATTTAGAAATAGTGAATACAAAAAAAATAAATGAGAAGCAACATAAAAAGCATACTATATCATGACTATACATAATACCTAAAGAATACAATATGGCATCCCATTATCACAAAAATATTTTCTTTTAGAACGCACCAACACCACCTGATCTTAAAGTCATTTCACAAAGTGGGTGCAGTTGAGTTGTATCTGGTGAGCTTTGATGCTCCATTTACAAAAAAAAGAAAAGTGATCAAACACATTGATGCAACAACACTTGATTAACTGCAGATGAGTGGTAGATTTACCCAGAAAGCGGTGAAATGCTGAAGGATTGTAAATGCAAAGAAAGTGCACATGCTAGCTCATATTACTATAAACAGAATTAAGAGACGGCGACCGAGGCCTCGACACAGAGGGGCCCGGTATGGCAAATTTCCCCCCTCTGATGTAATTCCATGATTCCAGTGCTTTATCCACTTGTCTCTGAATTCTGCTTAAAAACTCTTTCATTGCATAACAAGTAAGGCTCATTAAGTTTTTGGTTATTGTTCAAAAATAATCCATGAGTCTATGGAGAGAGAGAGAAAAAAAGGTTTTGCTTACAGTATATAATCTCTGATAAACGGGCAGCAGCTTATTTATCCGTTATTCCCACTTCTTGTACTGTCGAAGGCCTATTTTGTCTTTGTTTGTTTTTACCACCAAACTCTGGTAATTACCAGGACACCATTACACAATTTTCCACTTAATGTCTCTGAAGCTTTAAAAAAAATGAAGACAAAAAGTCACCCCCCCCCAACATCACTGCTGCCCAACTTCTACCATCTCCTCACTGTGCTGCAGTTAACATGAAAAAAACCATTTTACAACTAAATGGTTAGCTTTTTGTTCACGTTGTATAAAAGCAAAAATATACTTGGGTAAAACAAAGAAAAAAGAAACATGGCATTGTAGAAGCATAATCTAATTCAGAACAAACCAAAACACACATCTTAAAAGATAAAAACGTCCAAGACACAGGCCACCTATAAGTATAAGCATTAATAAGTAACAGATGTTAATTCGAGAGTTACAGATAGAAATGTTTTACGTGAAGTTATACTCTCCGAATGGAAAAAAAAGAAAAAAGTTCCATCGTCATCATTATCGGTGGTGCTTGCAGTCAGTCCCCCCATTGCTGGTGATGTTGCCCGGGTAGTCCGGGCACCAGTGACTGGAATGCTTCCCTTCGGTGGTGTCCTTGGCGAGAACAGCTAATTTCCCTGCTCTGTCACCTTGCCACGCAGACCCTGTTTAAGTTGCAGTCTCCTCCACGTTCACTGTGAGCACCGCCTCATCCTTTTAATGGGGGAAAACTGGTGGTTGATTTCAAATTGCTCAAATGGGATGGGGGTTTTAAATTGCCCAAATGGGACAAGGTTTCAATTTACCAAAGTGGGATGGGGCTTTTGTTTTGTTATTTTTTTTTTTATACCTGGTGAGTCACGTTCACACATTTTTCAGCAGTTTTTAAAAAGAAAGCAGAAGAGTAGAAAAGAGGAGGGCGCATCCAGATGCATGGCTCTGTGCTGAGTCTCTGTACACAAGTGCTGGGGATCACCTGTCAAGCCACCGGCAGGTGTATTCTACTCTGATTTGTGGCAGTACAAGTCTTTGAGGGCTTTCAGTTCCTCGATGAGGGTTTTGTTCTGGTTTTCCAGCACGGCCACGCGGTTCTCCAGACACTTCACGTACTCTTTCTTCTTCCGACGGCACTCGCGGGCTGCCTCCCTGTGAGACAGGAGGATGCGGGTACATGAAGGTACAGCACATCAGCTTGACACCTACAGAAGCAATTCAGTACGAGTTACTAATTAACCTCGCCATACCTGTTTTTCATCAGTCGGACCTCCCGTTTGCGTGTGACTTCCTCAGTGGCTCCTGATCCGCTGATTGTGGGTGGAGTTGCCATGACCACCCCAGGAGTGATGGTGCTGGTGGGGGCTGTGCGGATTTGATAGGCCTGGACATCACCAGAAGCAGCTGGTGAACAAAGATAGACAAACAGTCAGTGCTTTATTCAGCAAAGCTTTACAAATCGTGTAGTTTTTGTGGAACTTCACTTCTAAACACTGTGGAAACCATTTTCCCACCTTGCACGACCACCTGGTTACTGGGCACGAGGATCTGCTGCCCGTCACTGGTCTGAGCATACTGCAGGATGGTGGCGCCAGGCTGGGCTGCAGCAGTGTTGGCCATGGTGAGTGTCTGCAGGCCATCCGTGCCATTATTGGCCAGCTGAATGGCTCCACCCTGGGTAATGGCAACTGCAGAAGGATAAAATTGTGCATTAGGACTTTTAACCAATTGCTTTCTGTGTTGTTCTCCTCTATCCAATACTGTAAACATTACTAGATATGGGGCTCCACACAAACTGTCATATCACAAATACTGTTTTTGTAAGAGGAAAAGAAGGAAAATACTGGACTTAACATCATTCATTCACAATATCCACAGGTTTTCTAAACAGCATTAAGTCTGTACAGGTCAAGGATAATCTTAACATTGGTCTTTAATGTTGGAAACATTAAACAGGGTCTGAAGCAAAGCATCAAATGTGGCCTTTTTGCTGATTGGCCATCCCTGAAAAACAGGTTTGGGATTACTTGTTTAACATGAGCATCCACCACTGTAACAGCATGTAGAAAAAGCATAATAGGTTCCCTGTCTGCTTAATCTGGTCATTTGATTTAGTGAATTTAAATAGTCTCACTGCACGACAGCAGAAGTAGAATGCTTGAATTACGTTAACACCTACTTATTTTTAACAAAAACCACCAGCTATCTGTGTCTCAAAGTACTTACTGTACTGGCCACTGCTGGTCTGATAGATGGGAGTGGGCATGGTGACCGTGGTGATAGCAGGGGCTGAGTCATCTTCTGATTTCTCTTCCTCAATTCGAGGCACTGCCGGAGCATCTGATGATAAGTCATTCAAGATCTTTCTGTAAGAGGAACATTTGCAGAAAAATCTTAGCAACCTTTTATTTTCTCCTCGTTTCATATCTGCAAATAGTCTATTTATAGCTGATAAAAATGAAAGAGTGTCAGTCATTGTCTTCTAAGCTTTGAACACGTCATACAGACACAAAATGGAAGCAGTACAGATTAAGGAGATGCTGTTTGCATCTGCAGTTTCTCAGCGTGTCACACAGACCTGTAGGAAGGCCGCCTGGACAGAATCTCTCTCCTCTTCTGAGAATCTGTCACGCTGTCGACAGATTCCTGAGAGTCCTCGCTCTCAGCGACAGTCGAAATCTGTAAGGAAATCATCTCAAATTCAATTTTAATTCATTTACAAACTTCAAAGCCATCATGTTCAGCTCATATCCCCTACTGCAGTCATTACTTGCAAGATGAAGTTTCCCCTCTCCTCTTACCTGTACCGTCTGCACCTGTGGGGACTGAATGACCGAAGGCTGAGCGGCTTGGATCACACCGTGCACTTGGACTGTTTGACCATTGGGTAACTGGACAAGAGTGACTGTGGGACTACTGGAGGACACCTGGGCTGCTGCTATGGATGCCTGAAAATATAAAACACATTGTAAAACCACACATGTGCATAGTTACAAACAGCCCACAGCAACTGGTATTATTTTACTCTTGGGTAACCTCAATCCCATCTCAAATCCACATGGGCCTTCTGCTCGACCTTCTTAGATCTACATAAACAATTCATGGTGCTAAGTTTGGATATGTAAGATATCAAATACTTTCCAAGATATATACATATTTTAAAAATGGTCCGTTGACCCACTTCAGGTATGTTTTCTCACACTCTGAAATCTGAGGTCATGTTTGAACATGAATATCTCAAGGACCACTAAAGAGAAAAGCTTTAAATTTTCACTTTCTTGAATCATGAATAAGGATGCGTAATTTGGTACAGCAGATACAGCCTAGTATTGTGACGGTTTGCATGGTGACAATACATCAATACAGGGACACCAAATATCAATATCTTATTAAATTAAAATAGTCGGAGAACACTACGAGCTACCGTAGGCTCATCTCATGCATGATCCTGAGATAAAGCTAGCCGAGCAAACTTACATTTAATCAGCAATTCAGAATTTCTGACTTTGTAGACAGCAACACACATGTGCCGATTTATCTCAGTTAACTGCTGTATTATCAGAAAGACTGACCACATTCACTTACAGACCGATAACAGACTGATAATTTTATCTTACAGATACAGATATTTACAAAGTTTCAACTTTGAGGGCATAATTTCCAGTTGAAAAAAAGGGATAAATCACAGTATTTGTTATTGCAATGCTCAGCATAACTGCAAAAACTGCTACAATATCATTAATGGGGTCTTTGCTGAATCTCACCTGTAGTATTTGATATATAAGCCATATAAGCCAAAATCTCACAGCACAAAACTTTGAAACGTAGCATTTTCACGCAAACTGAAAATGGTCGAGCATTAAAACTTAAATTCATACTCCTTGCACTAGTTCTGCACTCTCTGCATGAGAATAAAAAGCACTACCTGTGCCAAGGTGATCTGCTGGGCCTCAGACTCCGAAACAGCCGTTTCACCACTTTGCTGTGTGTCTGCAGCCGCTTCCATGGTCATTTAAAATCTGGCTGATGGAGGGAAAACAAAAGTGAGAAACGGCTTATTTGTGAATGCAACAGCATGCTGGGAACACCAGACTCATTCAAAAACTTGCTCGGTCTTAAAGGAGGGTGTGGCTTAGCTTAACATGCTAACATATAGCTCATTTTCAACGGTTTCCTTGTTGGCCGAAATTATTTTAAAAATGACGCAGGAGGGAACGTTATACGTATGGCTCAACAACATTAACGCGAACTGAAATGAGCCGCTACTTGTTTATCCAGGCTCACGCTTGCAGTTAACGCCGGAGGC